AAGGGAAGTACGTTAAGAAATACTACTCTCTCTCTCTCTCTCTCTCTCTCTCTCTCTCACACACACACACACTCAATTATAGATATACACACACTTTCAATTGCATATCTTACTCCACATCACACACAAATGTCTTTTGTTTCTTTAGTTTCTCCATCATTTTTTGTGCAGAATGAAACAGGCAGCTTTCTTATAGCCATCAGCACACGCTGTATATCAGGATCTTCTTCAGGCACATTGGGGGTAGATCACTATAAAGAGAGCTGGTAGAGGCCCTTCCCCGGGCACACATACACAGCAAAGGCAGGGGACTTTAAACTGGATTTGCACGCACACAGGGGTTTGTGATCAATAGCTACCAACATTTATGGTTTAGATTATTAATGTGAAAGCTAGCCAAAAGAATGGACAGGAAAAAATAAAGGTGTCTGTTATCAATTATATTAAAACCTATGCAATAATTTACTCTCTCCCTGTGTGTGTGTGTGTGAGCAGGCAGATACATATGTATATTTCTTTAGTAATTTTGTTGACCACCTCAGCCTCACTTAAAGTCAAAGATGAACACGACTCAAAAGATGGATGTTTGCCTCCCATTTCTTCAGAACAGAAGGTCTAAGGATGCCCATTTTACCAACTATATGTACATGCAACAATATATAGTTGTGAATACACACATTATCAATCAAATGTGTTCCTTTTCACTTTGAGTAACGTGCAATCTGTGATCTACATCCTAGAGTGAGATAATATTTCAGTTCTGAAGCTGTCTGGCCAAAGGATAAACCTAGTAGAAAATAAAGAGAAAAATAATGTTCATAATATATACAGTAGACATTTTCCCATTTATCTCAGATTACTTTCATTTTTGAAAAATTGTGTTCAAATATATAGGCTTGTAGAAAATGTTTAATTATATTGCTTCAGAAAGAATGTATAGAACATTTTAGATGCCTTTTTTATTTTATGTTTTGATTTATTTCCATTGTATGATTGTGTTTAAATACTATTACAATTCATCCTGACCTCTTCCTTCTTGAGCAAAGTAATGCACACACCATTTCTTTCAATGTTTAGTTGTGAAATGCAACTGCAATTTACAGCAGTAGTTTTACTAATGAAGCAAATTCTTTTTCCTAAGGATTCATGTGCATTTTCATACTAGGATTGCCACATCATTAGAGCATTTCTATTACTATTTAGTATTATTTTTAAGCACTGGACCAATCTTCAGATACTGACAGCATTAAATACACTTTTTATTTTCACAGCTTTTATGCAGAAATAGATCATTTAAATGAGAAATAACCTTGTTCACCAGTTTTAGATACACTGTGCATATTGTGCTCATAGGGGATGCAAACAGAAAATAGAGGATATCACAAAGAGTCCAGTAACGGGGTCAAAGAACAGTATACTAAGGTCCTTCTGCTATTTTAAAGTCAACCAAATGTGACTTCAGTGCTTAAAATTTGCCATAAAGTCTAATATGTCAAACATAAGAATGCACAATCAAATTATCCAAAAACCTGGGCCAATTGTCAACTAATAGTAAAAAAAATGATAATTTATCAAACATAATATTACAACTGAGTTCTTTCCATGTAAACAAAGCAACAATATATAGTTCTGTTCAGCATTTTTTAAGTTTTATTTTTTCATGTGCATGTATCACACCCACCAGAAATTTCTGGATTTCAGTAAAATCACAAAATAACACAGCAGATGTTGATAATCTTGTTTTTAAAATACAGTTTTTAAGGGGATTTTTTGGACACATACTACATGACATGTTGTCTACTGACCCACAATCAATATGCAGTGACCTTCTACCCTTTTTTTGCCCCTTGACCCATCCTGAATTCAATGCAGCCTTTATACATTTTCAAATCCTTGGATGTAAAGGGGATTTGGCAAAGCTTTGTTCTGAAAGGATCCTAAAATGTGCATTTTTAATTAGACAAAGGTAAAGCAACAAACATTGGGGAAGATCATTTCTTACATACAGGTGAGCGATTGTAATTTCTATATTCAAGAACTATGTCAGAGAAAACATATTCTGCAAGCTGAAAAGCAATTACAAACACAGGAGATCAGAAGGTTATGGATTGCACCAAATTAGCAATGTGGCACAAATCACTTTCATGACGTAAGGCATGGCCAGGCCACAATCTTCCGGCGCTCCTCATCTCCAAGGACTGTGGGGATTCTGGTGACCCGGGGAGAGGAGACTGGGGAGAGAGAGAGATTTAATCTGAAGCTACAGGCACATTCCCTTATCTCTCTTGCTATCAGCCAGTTTAAAGGACACCATAATTATGAGGGTGATAAAACAATGCCTGCTTATGTGTGCTGAATAAATAAAGCATGTTTACAGCTCTAGAATGTTTCAATTCCAATTAAACGCTATCAAAGAAAAGCCACTTCCCCTCAGCCAGCCCCTATTTACCTTGTTTGTTGCAATATTTTCCTATGAAATACAAACCTTCCAGAATGCCATTAAGGACAAGTTGGTGGTGAAAGAATAGACAGCACACACTCTCGGTCCCACAATTTATTTAGATCTCCTAAGCTTTTATTTGTTTATTTTGCAATGGCCAGCTGCTTGGAGATGCAGTGCTAAAAGGCGCTTAAGTGTCCAGCTCCAAGCTCCACCAACAGGAGAAGGAATTGGGAGTAATTAATGCAGCGCCCATGGGCGATAGAAGAAGGGGGAGGGAGAGAGGAGAAGGGGGCCGGCTGATAGCTATAGTCTCCTGGTTCCGACTCCCGACCAGAACCCAGAGGAGCTTGGTCTCCAAGCAGTGCCGGTTTCCTCTGCATCTGGGACCCCTGGAACCAGGAGGCTGAAAATTCATCCCATTTACTAAGACACAAGGATCATTTAAAATATTCATTGTATCAGGAAATCTCATCGTAATCAGATTAAAATAAGGTTTGGAGGAGTGTTGCCTATGAGGCTGTGTACTAAACACTGATTGGATTACTCAGAAAGCTGATTCTTGTTGTATGTTAGAGTAAAATAGTACAATGAAAACCAATCATTTTGCCATGGGAGACACTTTTTAAAGCCACGTTTCTCCGTTATGTTTTAGAGAACACACTTCTCCCAGATACCATTCTAATTTAAACTTTATATCCCATATTTCTACATGATGTTTATTTTTTAAAGCCCAGGCCTTACATATGCTGTGGAATATACAGTGCTGTAGATTGTAGTTTATCTCAATTTGCCTTTAAGCTAACTTAGTCTAAAAGATCAACACTGCTGAATTTAAACTTCTTAAATTAAATGTCCATGGGTGAAATATTTATTTCTTTTTAGTTGGAGCAGAATGTAGTGTAAAAGCCGAGTGTGTTTACAGATTTTCTAGATCGTTGTAGGCCCTTTCCTTTTTAAAAGTTTAGACCTCCAATGCCCTCGATTCTACTGGCAGAATTAGGATGGACTTGGAGGGTCCTGAACGTGACCATTCACTAAGGCGGGGGGCTACAGCTTGCAACAACGTGCTCGGCAACTTAATCTTACACTAAAAAAGGCAGAGAGCGAAAAATAATGGAATACAAACTCTCCCGATATTTGTAGTCACTCCTAAGGTGGATTGTGTATTTGAAGGCTGATGGGAACGTCTGTTTTTTGGAGCAAAAAGGAAAGAAGGTAAGCGTTTGTCCTTGTATCCGCCAGTTCGTGGAGAAACAATGAAAGAACAAAGGGAACCACTTCTCCATTCGAACTCTTTACATTTTCTTCCTCCATTTCAAGCTTATTGTGAGGGGCTGAGGGTGGACTCGCTTAACTTTGCCTTTAGAAACTGTATAGGAGGGTTTGGGTTTAAGAAATTATTAGAAAGTTGCGCAGCAATGTAAATTAAAACATGTTTACTGGTAAAGATCCTCACAATAGCAGTAACAGCAGCCACGATTAAGCAGAAGTTGTTAATTTCATGGATCTAAAACTCCCCAGATAGTCTCCCCAAAACCAACAGCGATCAAAGTGTAGTTTGTATGAGCGTGGATAGGAACCTTTCTTAGGATTTCAGTGCTCCCCAAAGAGAGACTATAGTTTGTGGGACTTAAAAAACAACAACGATTAAAAAGGTTTTAAAATGTGTTCCCAGCAATGATCTCCGTGCTGATTAGCGAAGTAAGAAGGGAAACGGG